CAAACCACACAAGCCCTGGTCTCTCGTGGCCCTTTCCCTGGGTGCTGTCCAACCAGGCCACAGCAGGGGTCACCTGCCCTTCACAGAAGGGGAAAGTAGCAATATTTGATATCTCAATTAAGTTGCCTTCTGAAGAAGGAGGTGTTAGTGGTGATGGTGGTGTTCTTGGCGGTGAGAAAGAAGCAGGGATACTTTCATCCACAGTCAGATAGAGGTTAAGATTTATCTGGCTTCCTCCACATAGTTGAACCGATCAGCCTGAAATGAAGAACACGGCAGATTGTTTTGCCTATTGTTACCATGGTGATGGTGGCACATGCAGATGCGGTTTAACTTAACTTTAACTGCTACATTTATGTTTTAATTTGTTATTTTTTGCCTTTATTATGAAAGCACTTACCACTTTTTTTTGGTGGGGCTCTTTATTTGCCTGTCTTTATTTGTACAGTGACAGCCGAATATAGATAAGAAAGGGGGGGACAAGAACGCCTGGATAAATGGAGAGGAGAGGGCTATGTCCAAGAGCCAAAAAAAAGCTGCCTTTCGGTCGGGAACGGTCAGGTGACAGGGAAACATACAACACTGCCAGAGCAAGACTGAAAGTTGGCATCACGGAGGCAAAGCGGAGACATCATCAGAGACTGGAGAGGGACCTTAACACCAACAACAATAAAGATATGTGTCAGGCAATCAGACTTCCTCACAAACAGGTAGTTCGAATTGTCACACCTCCCTACTCTAATGCTCAACACCAGAGCACCCTTGGGCTGTGTGTTCACGCTGAACACCCTTGACTGCATCCAACATGGAGCAAACTCTGGTGTGAATATTGCAGATGACACCACCATCATCAGCCAGATTTCAAACAATAAGGAGAATCATATCGGGAAATCAACAATCTTGCAGGGTGGTGCACAGAGAAAAAACCTGCTCAACGTTAACAAAACCAATGAGCTTGATTGTTGATTATAGAAAAAAAAAAGAGGCAAAAGGTACACATCCCTGTCTACATCATGGGAGCTGATATATATATACAGTATATATATATATATAACTGTTTTGCTTATCTATTCATACATATATTTGAATGAATAAATAAGAATAAAAAATAATGTTTTGTTTTTTTTTCCGAGTTGCATGAAGGCACTACAACTTGCATTTTGTTATACAACCCTGTGTTGTAGGATGATGATAAATAAATCAACCTTGTACCTTGTCTTGATGGGAGCATTTCATTAAAACCCACTTATTTAGTGCCCTTGTTCACATTATTGTTTTCAAGCCTTTGGCCAATCACACTGACTCTTCATCACGAAGTGCCGGCTGCTCTCAATAAGCCAGCCATTTTTGTCTGTGCTTTCTCAATAGAAGGTGCCAGGAAAATGTTCATATCCTTGAGCTTTTCAAGAGTGATACACAAAAGCCATTGTGACCACTCGGAGAAAATGGGGAAAAAATAAATGGCAAGCATAATACACATTCTCAAGGGCCATGAAACATATTCTTCTCTGTGATTTCATTGGAGCCATGATTTAGAGAAAATTAACACTGACACACCCTCACACATAAACACAACCAGCGAGTAAAGACCCAGCTCTTCTCATTAAGATTAGTAAACAACCAGTTGCTCCAACTTTCTTAAACAAGGTCATTTCATCGACGTCAGGACAGGAAGAGAGTGGCATGAAAAAAGATCATCTATAAACTGGAAGCATCATGCAAACACACATGCGCACATGTACTCAGACACACACACAAACCCCCCTACCTAGCCCATAATTACATGACAGCATGCAGGTGCACATCCCTGGCTGACAGTGTGTATAAACTCAGGCAGAGATATGATCTAGTGAGGAGCTGCTCTTAATAAATATTAACAAACGCCATTCCCAAGTAGCCTCAATCCCCACAAGCACCTCCAATGCCAGTCAGAGCCGCAGTCTAGCTATCTCGCGTCACTACAGAACCTCTCTCCCTGGTGAATAGACTGCTATGCTTTCTCTGAGAAAGTTCAAAGAGCCAGAGAGGGCGAGGGGGGCTGGTAGCAGTGAGGGTGAATGTGCTTGCTATACATGTTCTAACTCAGTTCTTTTTTATCTATAGGGAGCTGCCATCATCGTCATATAGGGAAATTAGTGGAAGTGGAATTCAAATCAGTGCTATCAAAATGGGGTTGCATAGTGTTTGAACAGAATATTACAACCTCGGCTTCACTCTTGTGGACGATTGTTAAGGAATAAATTGTATATGTGTATGCAGAGGAGTTGGAATGAAAGGCTTTTGATGTCTCACAAAAACACGGTTCTCCTATGCATACAAATGAAAATTACTGATACCATATGGAAATTTAATGATGCATTTTTAAAGGGAAGGTATTAAATGACTCTTGATCACACGGTTTTCTAAGTAAGCCAGTAATTAGTGTGCACACACAAACTAGCATCAACTCAACAACAGTTGGGCAGACATGCTCACATGACACATGCTTAAAGGTGATTGAAAATGCACATGCACACATCAAGGCAAAAAGTAAAAGCTAAAAACTCAGTAAAACTGAACAACAGCAAATGGTTTTAGTAGTGTTGGTGTTTCTGCACGGGTGTCGGGTGCATCTCTTGGAAGGAATATTTAAGTGGGAAATCATAAAGTTAGAGAATTTGGATGATTGGATGAACCTTTATCCCACCATATCTCTAAAATATATATTACAGTATTTGTGTTATATTGGCAAAATATAGAAAACACACACACACACACACAGACATACAGTGACATGCACTTGCAGACTTGGCCCACCCACTTGCTTGCAGACTCAGTGAGGTGTGTTAGTAAGGTTTAAAGCCTTTATTGTTCCTGACCAGCCAACCTGTCTAGCACACTCCTCAGTCTCACTGCTCACCCCATTACACTTGGAAAACTACAGGAAAATAGGAAAAGACAAAAAAAGAAAAAGGGAGAGGAAGTGGACACTGGAGAGATAGAATAAAGGAAAGGGGGGCGAAGAAAAAAAGAGGGCAGAGACCCTTCACATCTGTCTAGGTACAATGTCAGAGTCTGCCTTTGAGTCGGTGGGGTTAAAAGAGGAAGCAGATCTCGCCGTGAACGCTGTTAAATGGTTCAGTGGTTTGACAGTGGCTGATGCTACAGACAGCACTGCTCCCCTGGGAGCCTGCACAGTCTCCCAGGCATGGCTCTTATCAAAATATACCTACCGCCTGCCTCTACTGCAAAAATAAACAATAACACAGCGGGGAAGGAGGGAGAGATCTAAGGAGTCATTGGATGTTTATGAAAATAGAATCACTTTTTTTTTTTTTTTAGCACTGTCATAATTGTCTTGACAATTATGGGCGTAGCATACAGTATAGACAGTAAAGTGTGAAAGCAGATTATGCATTAATGTTCAAGCTTTGGCTCTTAAGGAGCCACGGGCATTTGGGTGGCGGATATGTGGGTTCTTGAGCTTTTTTTGGTTGGGGGGGGACTTAAAACATGAACAACAAAAATGTAATCCCAGTTGTAGCCCTCAAAGCTGTGTTGCAGCTGATTGTCAAACACACACACACACACGTAAAACCAGCACAGGCAAAACTGCTCCATTTTACCATCATTACACAGCACGGGTCCCCCGCTCCCTTTGGAGCCGTGTTCTGCCTCCGGTGCTACATTTGACGGTTTGTTGAGCGGCACGTAGGTGTGTAGCCTCCGCCGCGTTACGTGATCAAACAGCCCAACTGACGCATGGCCAATTATCCTGGCTGCCTCCTCTCATCTCACATTTAAGGAGAGGGAAAGTAAAAAACAGAGAGGGAGATGGAAAAAGAAAGATGGAGGGAGGGAGAGAGGGAGAAAAAGACGCAAGACTGGTGGTGTGTTTATCGAAGAATGGCAGATGTAAAAGCACTCTTCTCCTCATTCCGCAGGGAAGCTGACATGTGCACCATTTTTGAAAAAGTAAACAATGGCTCACACACTTTACATTTTTTTCATTGTGAATCTTTACCCTCAGCAAGCCGTAAATAGGCCAATATGAAACAAACAAAGAGAATATGGGGGGAATTAAGTATCAAAAATGACACAGCTTGTGAAGGACTGTGCTCCTCTCTTGTCTCAGTGAATAACATCACTGCCTGTCCCATCACAGTGACACATTCTGCATTTAAGGGAAATATTAAAAGTACTTCATATTTTCTTCTCTCAAATATCCACCACGCTGTGTGTTACATAGGTCGAGAGAATGCTGAACCTTGTTATTACTGCTACACCAACTCTTTCTCAACCCCTTGTTGTTCTCTCATGATTGAGGAAGGTTTCATTTCCCTTGTCCTCTGTAAGGTCATGAGGTCATGTGAAGGTGCTGCTGCTGTTCCCTTGTTATGCTTTAATAGACTTTATTGATTTTTTAATGAAAATCCTATTAACAGGACAATACATATCAACACAATTCAAACCATTTTCCAAGATGCCATATTGCATTAGGTTCAAGGTGCAGTGAATTAACTGTGGCTTAAATGCACTGTGGACAGATATGGCGTGGACATTTCTTGGCATCAGAGCTCATTACAGTCATAGTCAACTATGTGGTAAATAGTGTTTAGAACTAGTTTTAAATGCAGCTTTGGCTCTGGGAATGCTGCTCATCTCTTTTTGTTGGTAAAGAAGAAAGTGAGGCAGACAGGAAAGAGGGCAGTAAACAGAAAGCAATTACAATGGTAACAGCAGTTACTGAAAATCTCGTACAGAGGCCTTGACTCTGGCTCAGATCACTACACAGTATAGCTGGAAAGTAACTTAAAAATAAAAGATGAAGAGGAGGGAGAGAGAAAATCATTAGCCTTTACTGGGTAACAATAAGAAGCAGGAGGAAAGAAGGCATGGAAGGAAAAAACAGCTGTAAGGCACACATGAATAAACTGGACTACTAACCACAGACTAGGAGAGAGAGAAAAGAAAACAGAATGAGCAGAAAGAGTTTAAAAACAGTTTTAAGAGCCACTTACCTACAGTTGCCCGGGACCTGGCTGAATATTTCTTGAGCTTGCTGCTGAGCGTGGTGTTGTCTCTCAGGGCCGTCTCACATTCTCTCTCCATCATGGAGGTTAGTTCTCGGGCCACAGTGCTGAGGTAGGCCGCATTTAGGAAACCTAAAATGGCGTGCGGTTCTGCTAGTCTTGAAAGGACATGGAGCTCTTCTGTGAGGGCTTGGGTCAGAGCTGGGACAACAGAGCGGAAGCAAACAGCCAGTCTGTCAAAACCAGTCTCACCGCCTGGGCTTGAGCTCAGGGCAGAGAACAGAAGATCCAGCACAGATTGGCTTCTCAGACCCTGGATAATTAAAATTGAAAAAATAATATTACTGTGAAATCATTTGTATACTACTGTGTAATTGTATTACATCAAGTTCACTATGTGGATAAAAAATGTAATTTAATTCAAATAGGAATATTATTCATGCAGAAAACTATTTTTCGTCGTTTCATCATTTTCATATCATTTTATCGCACCTGGTAATGTGTGAGCACCTCAGACTCAGGGTAAAGAAAGAACAGCTGTTGCAGACAGTGGACGCGTTCAGGGATGGACAGAGTGGAAATATGTCTGGGTCCCGGACGCTGTGGGCTGCGGGAAGACAGCCGGTCCAGCAGGTGGCGGCGCAGCTGGAGACGCACATCATCCCACGCCTCCTGGATCTTAAGCAAAAAATAAAATTAAGTGTAAGTGCGAAAATACACTGATAATCAACAACAACACCACCTTTAGAGGGTATAATTATCTTTTGTAGTGAACAGTGCCATTATTAGGGTATAGTATAGCCTAAGAAGGATAGTATATCTTTCTTTTTGGCATAGACTTAACTGCTGAAATATGCATTAGATTAAAGGATATGTTCACATTTTTAAATCTGTCTTAAAACAATACTCACATGACCATATATTTATTTTTATTTATTTTTATT